ATTAGACCACTGAGACCAATCGTTCCGCGGCAACTTCATGGTGTTGGCTTGATACCAATCAATCGCTCGATCGATTAGAAACAATTTCAAAGCTTTGACTTTCTCCTGATCGTCCACAACCTTGTGTCTCGTGCATTCGGAGTTAAAGTCTTCCAACCAGTCGACCGCTTTCTGTTTACCACTAAATTTCTCTAGCGCGAACTGCTTCTCAATCGTTCTAAGCTTCTGATCTGGCGAAGAATCTTGTAGTTTCAATTTTCCAAGCATCTCCATCACATCGTTTTGAAGTGTTCCCCCAAGTCGATTCCCGCTTCTTTCGACGGGGATGTAGTTTCCTCGAGATAGTAGCTTTCGAAGACGAAATTGCGGTCACTGTCACAGTATTGATGCAGCAAGGGCTCTTTCAATGTAACTCTCAGATTCCTGTATTGACCAACCTTCGTCAGATTTTTGATAGCGTTCCTCACGACTGGGAGATTGAACAGCTCAGGATGGCTGGAGTCTTTCTGGTGCTTGAGGGGGAAAATGTACTGCGTGTCTTCGAGTTGTCTTCTGATCGTTTCCAAACAGATTACAGGTTCTTGCTTGGAAGTCGTCTTCACAACCACGTGGATGATCACTCGTTGCTCCATTTTTTTGGGACTTTCACGGCTGGAGTTTCACAGTTTTCGGAAAATCGATTTATATTTTTCTTCTTTCAAGGATCACACGATCGATTCTCACTTAAATCAGAGATTTATTTTAATGGGTCGATTGAAACGATTTAACAACGATAGTATCGGTGGTATGATACGTAAGCATGAGAGCATTTACCTTAAATCAGAGAATCGATTTTCACGTGGTGAATCCCGCTCTTGGAGAACGCAGAATGGCTAGAGCCAGATTCTCCTATCTCTGGAGAGAAACGTGGCGGCAGTTTTCGAAAGGCGCCCTCTCTCAATATCGGCAGGGAGCAGGGACGATATTACAGATATGTGGTTGCATTTCCGAAGAGGCCGAGCATCGACTCCCTCCCAAACAACATCTCCCTGGCTCGACAACGGCTCCAGCGTAAAACGACGCAGCTGCTACGCGACCCCGACCGATACGAGAGATACCATCGTGAACTCATGAATTTTGTCCAGGAGGGATTCGCCACCGAGGTGTCGGAGGGCGATGCTTCGAGCGCCTCGGCGATCGACGGCTGCTATTATATGCCGCATCATGAGGTGGTGACACGATCGGACTCCGCGGAAAAGTGGAGAATCGTGTTTGACTGTTCGGCCAAAGAGCGAGGGGCCACGTCGCTCAATGAGCACCTCTTTCCAGGGCCTAATTTAAATCCCGACCTCGTGACACTTCTTCTGAATTTTCGAATGCGACCCGTGGCCCTCTCGGCCGATATCTCGAAGGCCTATATGAGAATCGCAGTGAAACCATCCGATCAGCGCTACTTTCGATTCCTGTGGACAGCCCCCGGCTCGGATCGGATTCGTGTCTTCCAGATGAGGCGAGTCACCTGGGGCGCGGCCCCCTCTGGTTTCCTGTTGGCTGCCACCGTTCGCCATCACTTCGGAAAGGGAGATCAATCGACACCCGGGTTGTCCGATTGTCTCTACGCTGACGATTTCTTGTGCAGTTTCGATGGGGTAGAGCAAGCCACCCACTTCACGAACCTCGTGCGTCGAGAACTTGGTTCCGCAGGCATGACCCTAGCCAAGTGGAAAACGAACTCGGAGTGCGTTAGAGACCATCTCTTAAGGACCGGTGTTGGTCCGGACGACTTCGACTCGACGGCAGCGGAGTTCCTGAAGGTCTTGGGGATAATGTGGTCCCCGGCGGAGGACGTCTTGCGCTTCACGACTCCTTCTCAATTCGACGAACCCCTGGGCGAGGGAACTCTGACTAAGCGGCGGGTCTTGAGCATCGTCGCTTCACTGTATGACCCGCTAGGATGGTTAACCCCGTACTCACTCCGTGGGAAGAAAATCGTGCAACAGCTGTGGTCGGCTGACCTAGAATGGGGTCAGCCGGTGCCGGACTCTGTTCGCATCGAGCTCACAACCTGGATGATGGAGGTTCAGGACCTCAGAGGGTTCAGTTTCGCGCGCCGATACTCGGGAAGAGACGACTCACCGACCGCTCGGGTGTCACATGTATTTGGAGATGCGTCCAAGACCGCCTTTGCCAGCGCGGCGTACATCGAAAACCGCTACGAGGACGAAACGTCCACGTTTTCTCTGGTGATGAGCAAGTCTAGGCTTGCACCTCGCGTTCCCCCGTCGCTGCCCCGACTGGAATTGCCGGCAGCCGTGACTGCAGTTCGCTTGAAGAAATTCCTAGTCGAGCGGATGGATGTTCAATTCGAGCGGATATTCTTCTACACTGATTCAACTATTGCGTTCCACTGGGCTACCTCCGCAAGTTCGGGTAGATGGAAGCAGTTTGTCAGCAATCGCGTTCAGGAGATTCAGGCGAACTCCAACGCAGAAGATTGGTTTCACGTGTCGGGGGAGAACAACGTATCTGACTTGGCGACGCGCGGAATTTCTGCGAGTTCACTAATCAACTCCCCGGATTGGTGGCATGCGCCAGAATGGCTCCGCTTGCCTATGGACCGTAGGCCGCTGACTCGTCCCAGCCGAGGAGCTCTCTCCTTGGATTCGGTCAACCTGGAAATGCGCGCTGTCATGACGCCGATCGTTGTCCATGATCCTCAAATCGACTTGAACCGCTTTAGTTCTGCGGGTCGGGCGATAAGAGTCGTGGCTAACGTCATTCGTTTCGGCTACTTGACACGTCGGACAGCTGTCCCTGTGCTCGCGGAGTTGTACCGTAGAGCGGAGGCGAAGATAGTTGGCTGGTGTCAGCGACAATATTTCCAGGAGGAGCTGAGCTCTGTCCGCTCTGGAGAACAGGTACCGAACACATCGAAACTCGCTGCATTTCAACTATTCATCGACAGCGATGGACTTCTGCGAGCGAAGACGCGTCTCACTCTCGGACCATTCTTCACCTACGAGGAGAAGAATCCTCTTGTTATACCCGGAGAGTCGCGACTCGCGAGGTTGTTGATAATAGATGCTCACAGGGTAAATGCCCATTTCGGAGTCAATACTGTGTTGACGCAGATTCGAAGGCGCTTCTGGATTACGCGGGGACGCCAGGTCATCAGGACGATACTGAGTCGATGCGTCGTCTGTCGTAGGCGTCAAGGCGGACACGCTACCCAGATAGAGGCTCCGTTGCCTGAGTCAAGGGTGACGCTCAGGGCGCCTTTCGCAGTTTGTGGCGTCGACTTTTGTGGTCCGTTCTTCACGCGCCAACGCAGGGACACCGTGAAGACTTATGCGGCCATATTCGTGTGCACCTCAGTTCGCGCCATCCACTTGGAAGCGGTTCCGTCCATGACCACCCCTCAAACTCATCTGGCCATCCGGAGGTTCCTTGCGATATACCCGAGCTGCTTGCGTTTTGTTTCAGACAACGGCAGAAGTTTCGTCAAGGCCGCGACTGACATCAAGCGGCTATTCAACTCAATCAAGGATCGAGAAGTGAGGGAGGCTCTCGGAGGACGTTCGGTGGATTGGTCTTTCATATGCCCACGAGCCGCATGGCATGGTGGATTTTACGAGCGGCTCGTGGGGACTCTAAAGACGGCGCTGTACAAAACGCTGGGTCGAAATCTTATCGGTTATGAGGATTTTCGAACCATCCTTTGTGAGCTCGCATCCGTGATAAACGACAGACCTATCACGCATGCCGGAACGGATCCCGATGCCCCACCTGCGCTAACTCCGGCTCACTACCTCCGAGGAGGACCGTACAACTCTGCTCTCGCGACATTCGTTCCCGTTGATCATCTTCACGGCGATGAAGTTACTTCCGGGGCTGATCTGAGCAGGGCTTCCGCGGCAAGGACTAACTACTTCAGGCACCTCTCGGTGCGTTGGCAGCGGGAGTATCTCGCCCTGTTGCGATCGGCGGCCACGTGTCGAGGCCGGCCAGCTCGCCCGATAGAAATCGGGGACGTATGTTTGTTGCGGGACGATAATCTTCCCCGCATCCGTTGGCGGCTTGTTCGGGTTTTGGAAGCGCACACCGGCCGGGACGGTCAAGTTCGAGTCTATACTGTCAAGTTTGACAATCAACGCACTTCACGTCGAGCTGCTCAACTACTATACCCTCTGGAGCTCACGACGACTGAGGGTGATTTCATTTCGACGACGGGAGAAAACGATAGGGCTTCGGCCGAGACGTAATTGTGTGTCCGCACAATCTCCTTGTTCGGAAATTCAACTTGTAATGTGATCATTTGTGTGATACCTATGTAAATGTTGCGGCATTCTGTAAATATGTACGACTACTCAAGTGCTTTCAAATTGTGAGGCTGAAGAGACTCAAGAGCCTCCGTGGGGAGTGTTAAGTAACTGATAGGACGAAGGGGCTCTTTAAATTAACGCGCGCCTCGAGCGACGTCGTCTTCTAAGAACTGTAAATAAAAGTACTCTACCGCGCAACGTGATACTGCGAAAACCGGGCTCTTCGATTTTCCCTCGAGAATTCGAGAATACGATCACCAAACGTTTACAGTATGTATTCGACACCCCTCTCGTGGATCATCTTGTTGACCGCCGTGTCTTGAGCAAATTAGGTAATAGTAGCCAAGAGGTTCACTGGACCGTGACGGCCCGCCCTCCGTAAGAGCTTTCCATTGTTGGCTTCCACGTGGTTATTCGTTCGCTGTTGCAAGCCGGTTACAGAGAGATCATGAGGGCCAGTCGTGCGCAGCCAATGAGAAGCGACGTACTCGAGGAATGGCGGAAATCCGACATGTAGGTTCGTGGCTCTAGCCGCGAGAGCTTCAAAGGTAGGATTGATCAGCTCTGGTGGAAGCAGGGGAAGAGCCGTGAAAGCCAAGAAGT